ATTTCCTACAATTTCCCCTTTTATAGTATTTTTTCTTCCCCTCTGGATCCTGATTAGCCCTTAAAAGGGGAATTTCCCCTCATTGTGGAAACACTGGGCATTAGACACCCTACAACATGGCTGTCCCAGTTCAAAACCTAGTAACTGTTTTGGACTAAATTTTACAGGAGAGCAAAAAAACTCTTTTTAGGGTAGCTCTTTTAAACTATTTAACACCTGTTGAGAAATTATTATTTACAAGGAGTAGTTTGAAACTGTTAATTTGATATATAAATTATTTGTCTAAGTTTCATTCTACAAATTTTATGAGCTATAATATTTTTAACAATAAAACGACTAAGTAAAAATTGACTTCCAAAACCATTTCAAACCTAGTAAGTTCTCTTACTAGATTTTGATCTGGTTTAACATATTAGCTAAAAATCAGTTTATCCAGATCAAAAGCTAGTAAATTCAAATTTATACAGCCATTTACACATGTATTTGTGTTTCATTAGGCGGCATTCATTCGTTTTTTTTTTTTCTTCTATTTGTCCTATTTACATAATATCGTATTATTTACGAGTACGAATTCCACCATGGTATCAGTGCTGCGGAAACGGCTCGAGGGGTTAATGATGTGTATGGCGGTTACGTCGCAAAATAAAACACAGTACGTTTTTTCTTTTGCGACGTTTTTGCTTTCAACGTTTTCGTTCTGGAAATTTCGAGCCTCATGGACGGCCGGAGACCCAATTTTATAATTTGAAGAGTATTGTGAAAGCGGATCCATCGAAAACCACGTCCGCTGCAGGTTGCGGTGTTAGTGATAAAACTGTTTTAATCCACTTGAAGCAAATTGGAAAGATTAAAAAAAAGCTTGAAAGGTGTGTACCTCACGAATTGAGAGAAGCAAACCGGTAAACGCACTTCGACTTCTGCATTATATTATTTAACTGGCACGATAATTAAGGGTTTTTAAATCGAATCATTACCTGTGATGAAAAGTCGATTCTCTACGCTAATCGGAAGCGCTTATCACAATGGTTGGACCTTGACATGCCAGCCAAATCCTGACCCAAGTGAAAATTGACCCCAAAAAAGTTACTTGTAAGCGTTTGGTGGACTAGTGCCGGTGTCGTTCATTACAGTTTTCTCAAATCTGGCCAGACGATGACGGCCGTCGTCTATTGTCAGCAATAGCAAACCATGCTGGAAAAACTAGCAGTTAAACAACCGAGGCTGGTCAATCGCTCTACGCCACTGCTACTTCACGACAACGCTAGACCACACACCGCACTACAGACGGCTACCAAATTAGAAGAGTTTCAATTGATTCCCGTCCGAATGGACGGGAATGGTTTTTTTAGTAAGGGGATCAATGAACTACCTATGAGATGGCAAAAGTACATAGATGATAATGGTTTATACTTTGATTAAATAAATATAGTATATTAATAAATATTCGACTTTTTGTTGATGCCATACCAAACAACAATTTCATATAAGGACCTAATATATTGTAATGGGGGCAAAATATTATATTCAAAGTTATTAAACAACGATTTGTGATTTTATCTACATGGACTTTTCGACACTGACTGAGCTTTTGACTTCCAACTATAAGTTGTGAACAAATAAAATAAATTCTACACATAATTTTAATTAAGAGATTGTTAATGTTAATTGAGAGTATTGAATAAATAAAATAAATTCAACACATAATGTTAATTAAGAGATTGCTCATAATAACTCGGTTCTATATTTCTCTCAGTGTAATTAATATATGCATATTTGTCCTGTTTTATTGAATAAATAAAATAAATTTAAGTCTTCTTTAGAATTAATATTTAATTTCCGCTAATATAGCTCCCAATAATTATTGTACTTTGAAGTTATACTGGTTTTAAGTTAAATACTCAAAGTGGGCATAAGTTAGACGACATAAGTTTGGGAACCCCTGATCTAGTCTATGGTTCCATTGCTAATTTAACTTTTTCTTGATGTTCTCTTTGTTTAGTCGAAATATCTTCTGGCACTTCAGTACCTTTATGTGTGTTTCTCTTAATTTCTACTTCATAAAATGAACAATCCGCGCACTTATTATCTTTTGGCATATTAAATGAAATATTAAGTCTTTTGTTTGTCGATAAACTTCTACACAACAGCGAAAATCTTAACCTTTACTACTACCATAAACTTAGTTAGCAAAACTTAGTAACTCAATATTTTAATGTCAAAACAACTCAATATCAATATCAAAAACCTGGAATATGCTAACACACATACTAGAGTTTTGAAATAGTTAAAGATATATACTAGGTTTTATAATGGTTAAAACTTAACTTTTCATAAATTTAGAAGCACTTACTAGGTTTAGGGTACCCTATAACTTTTGATAGAAGTGAATTTTTATATAGGGCATTTTGGCATCTTGTGGGGACTTATTGGAAAACCACTTATAACAAAAAAACTCAATTTCTACTTTTTGTAGTCTTATTAAGTTTTGAAATGGGACAGCCGAACAGAGTAAACAGTCTTGTACAAGCGAATTTTCGATACTCCTCAATATATTATTCCTCTATGCTCTTCAGGGAGTGACCGATCAAGTACCGATACAAATACTTACTGTATGATAGAGATGTGCTGAGTCAGACTGACTCGAGTATTTACTCGAATGCCTAACAGGTACTCTGGTACTCGAGTACTTAAAATACAGAATTTGGATACGCAAGTATTCGGGAACAAGATTCGAGTAGTTACGGTATTGGAATCCTAAGTCGTGTACTTCAATAGCAACCTTTTAGCTTAACAAGTACGGTTTTCTTGTGACTAATGGTACAGAATAATTCGTTCAGGAGGTACTTCGCTTCGTAGTTTAATTTTATAGAAGATTTTTATGTTTACGACATAACTTAAAGTTTTTAACAAGTTTTCTTTTTTATTTTATATAATAGTTTATTTTAAAATTATTTACAGTTTCAAGAATTTTAGTAAGATTAAATTTATAAAAGCAATGCTTTGCGTGCTTCTATAGAACTTTTTAATAAAGTTCATAATTATCAAAGTATGATTAAATTACTGATTATAGCTGTATTAATCTACTATTATTGAAATACTTTCCTATTGTTCATGGTTCATTATAATTTGTAGTTGTCGTCAAACTTATTTAAACTACAAAGTTTGATTGAAATAATACACGAGTTCACTGAAGTTGACCTGACTCTTCTGACTCGATTCTTTTTTTAATTTGTACTAAAATATTCGATTACCAAATATAGCTGACTCGGCATATCACTACTGTATGATACTACTTGTTACTCAGTTATATGGGATCGATGCCTATAGTACTTGGATGGAAAGGAAAGTATCGAGTAAGTACCTATTTTTATTCGTATCGTTTTATGGCTAGGGATGGCTCAATGTCCATAAAATCAATTTCAAAGTCTTAATCTTTACTTTAGTTTTTAGTATTAAGACACATCAAAATTAGAAATACGTGTTTGTTAAAATGAGTTAATGTTTATTTTCAAAATATCGTTGCATCCCTGAGTGTAGTGTACTCTTTTTTTAATATATATAGTTGGGTCTCTTTCTTGAGAAATTTTTAAAGGTTTCTAATCTATAGCAAAAAATCGATATTGCGAATCTATTCGTAGCCTTTAAGATCAAATTATGAAAAATCAATTCATTCTCCTAATTTCGCTCAAAACCCTATGTAACTATCTAAATTATTTGGGTATTATCGAAAATGCCGTTGTTTTCTAATGTAATGAGGAAAAAAAAATCTTTAAAGACAGAAAAGATCGATTATCCATATGTTCGTTTTGCAACGCTCTTGAGATCGAATTGGATGGCAAAATATCAAACCAAAAAATCGAAGAAAGAGTTCAAAAAGATCAATAAAATCAATTTGAAAGAATCCCTAATTTGTTTCTTGAGTCTAACATAATAAATCTAGGTTGAAGAAAGGATGCACACGGAAAAGATTCAGAGGTCGCGCCGGGCGAGGTATCTGTTGCAGACGTGTTTATATCGTTATCCGTTTTTTTTAATGCGAATCACTGTTAATACTTAAAGTTCTTTAATGAAGAAATAATAACTGTACTCTATATCACCAGACTTACCAAACAGTGCATAATAGTAAGAATGAAATGCAACAGTTTTTAAAAATTTGCAATGTTTGAAACTTAGATATCAATACAAATACTAAAAAGTACAAATAGAATATGATTTGTTTATTGAGTTTTAAAAATTAATTTACACTAGCTTTTGCTCGCGACTTCGTCCGCGTGATATAGTAAATTTGGGCATCATATTTTCCAAAAACGCTGTTGTTTTTTGTGCTGATGATACCTTGATGTTTAAGTTCGAAGATAGTACAACAAAATACCAACGAATGTCCAATATGTTTCAGCACTTTATCTTTGAAACTTTAGAGATATTTATTCAATTCAATGCAATTTGAAATAAAGATGAAAAAAAAGCAGTTCTGAAGTTTACACAAAACTTAATCGAAAACGTAATCTACGCAAAATTCTATGAAAGAAACGTTACCGCAGATTACTTTAGAATAAACGCCATCTAGAACACAGTGCCATCTATTGGGTGTATTTGTAACCTAGATGTCAAACGATATTGAAGAATTTTATCTATGAATCAACGTACACCGCCATCAATGAGAACTTCATAAAATTAAACAGTAAATAAACACTTGCTTAAGAAACAATTAATTAGAACATTTTATTTGTTTACATTCACGACATAAGCGAATAATTGAGATGATAACTATCCTATCCAGTAAGTTAGACCAAAATACGGCACAAAATATTTATATATTTACGATATATAAGATGTATACATGAAAGAAAACTGGAAGGGTTGTCATGAAGAAATCAAGAAAGTACCGTACCGAAATTTAGTTTGATTTCGGTAACTAATGTTTATTTTTAAATACTTCGTGTTTACAATATCGTAGGAAAAAGTACTCAGTATAGAGTATCGATACTATCGATACCTACTCGGTATCGAAAGTATTGTTCAGTTCTAGTATAATATTGTAATCTTTGGTCCGAACCCCTGCCGTCTTAAAAAACAAGAGGGACAAATTAACAAATTTATATAAATATATCTATTTTAACATTTAATTAACTCATGAAAAAACCAAACTAAAAAGGAAATTACATAAATATGGAAGATATAGAAAAAGTTCACGTTATTCCTCTTCCCGATTCACCCTACGTAAAACCTTTCAGACTCAATTATACACAGAATGGTAAACAAAAGAGCTGGGATTTGTTAGAAGTACATGATAGCGTAGCAATTATTGTGTTTAATGTAACTAGAAAGGTTATGGTATTCGTGAAGCAGTTCCGCCCAGGTAGCCGTGGTTTTAAACTAGAAGTCATTTGTTTTGTCCCATTGCCGTGTAATAATATATATTTTTTTATTTTAGCTATATATTACAACTCTGTGCATCCAGAGGACCGGGATGACTTTATAGACACTAAAAAGTACCCGGCTTCATTGGGTATAGCTTTAGAAATGTGTGCTGGCATTATAGATAAAGACAAACCAACCATTGAAATAGCCAAAGAAGAAGTATTGGAGGAGTGCGGCTATAATGTAGAAGTAGAGAATTTACACAAAATTATGTCTTACAGGTATAAAATAAATGAAATAATTTAAAAAAGTATTGATTTAACACAAATTTAACATTTAATTTAGGCAATTTGAACCTGAAATAAGATCCCAACCATTGCCTCCAAAGTCCTATTTGACATCTTGGTATGTAACTACATTAAAATGTAGGTAAGATTTAGTATTAATTCATAGAGCTTCAAATTATATATTACTCAAAGTTTTTTTTAAACTTTCATTGAGGTGTTTTAAGTATTACCATTTGATTAAAAATTGTATTTATTAAACATAAGATCACAACTCATTACCTTAGCAGTGTGTTGTTGAACCCTTATGTAGAATAAGTCATAGATATTTTACCAAATACTATTTTAATTTTGCACATTTTCAAGTGCTATATGTTCATTCACTTTGTGTAACATTCAAATTACTACTATTATATTCTTTAAATACTAAGGGAGTTCATAGTAGACAGTTTCTGTAATGCTTATTGTTTGTAATAGTCTTAACTTGTTTATATTCGGCACATTTGAATTGTAAGTTCACATTTGCAATTCTTTAATTTGTAGGTCAGGTGTTGGTGTCCAGGGTTCTCTCCAAACGCTATATTACTGTGAAGTCACTGATGATATGAAAACTGAACAAGGTAACCTAGTATTAAGGAATACAAGGATCATATTTTCATCAAAGGAAATTGTATTTTCAAAGGGGAAAATGACAAAATAGATAATTTATTTATGAATTCTCACACAAGCGTCGCCATCTTTTGGTAGCGTTTGGTAGCGTCGCCATCTAGTGAGGTGCTTTTTAGTGCTTTCTTTTTTTCTTAAAATACTTCCTGATTAAGAGATGAGAAATTATTGTATACTAATTATGAAGTATTTGTTGAATTTATTTTCAGGTGGTGGTGTAGAGGATGAAATAATAGAAGTTGTTGAGATGACTATACCACAAATAGAATTGATGTTGAACTCTGAAGGTCCATTAGCAAGCCCACCAAGCTGTTTATTTGCTCTTATGTGGTTTCTCCACAATAAAGCAGACAAGTACAGAAAGTAGGACTTCATTTGTATATATTTAAATCATGCTTCTAATAGAAATCGTCATAAGAATAACTGTCTGTAAATATAAACAATGCATAATAATAATAATATTATGAAATATTCTTTGCAGTACAGTTGATTTACTTCATAATTAATAGGTAAAAACATTTGTTGACAGACACTGACCTTTTTTAAATAAATACATGTGTAGTGTAGCAATGTTCTACTTACTATATACAATTAAGTGAATAATTGTGATATATACCATAATCTAATAATTTTTCTGCAGGAGTTTTGAACGGACTTGCGGAGAGTGTAAAAAAACTGAAAGTGTTCTGAACATGTAATTTATGGAAGCCTTTTTTATATATCTATTAAAGAATTATCTACATTAGTGTTTCTTAACCTGTTCTGGTTAATTAACCCCAAGGATACAAAGCAAAATAGGTTAAAAATTAAACAACAAAACTGGTCCCACATTTCTTGAAGTGTAGGCTTTTATATAAAAAATGTCATGTAATATGTGAACAATGTACTGTTTTTGTATCTAACGTTACATCTAGCAGATTACCAGGGATCCTCAGACCATAAGTTGGAAAACATTTCTACAGTGTTTATTACCTGCTATTGAATATATTAATTAAAACATTCAATTTCATTGATTTAAATTGTTATATGACGTGGTCATTTTTAAATTTAGTATCACAAAATATATCTTGTTAAAATACATAGCTAAGCTTTGATGCATTTTGTTAATTTCTTAAGAATATAAATTAATACGTCTGCCAACATCAATCTGCGACAGGTTCAAATAAGTCATTACAATTGATGATCCTTTCAACAAGAAAGGACATATATTTTAACCATTTCGCAAAAATAAAACTGTGATTTAGTATTTATCTGTGATTGAATAATAGCAGCATAAATAAAAGTACTGACCAACATGCTTATTAGAGGCGTTCTGATTAATTGCAGGCATGTTGCACCGTTTTTTTGAGCATGCTCATTAATAGCAACGTGAAGCAAATGCTCTAGTGCTACTAGTGAGCATGTCTGTCAGCAACTTAACGTTTTAATTTTAAATATATTATGCACACTACCTGGAATATTGCAGCAACTCATCGTGTGGCGGATATAATGGTAGAGGTTATTTACTATGTGAGAATAAAATAATTATGAAGTATATAGACTGTTTAATAAGTATTCCCCACTCTGCTTAATAGGTCACTAATATTGTCCGTGCATCATCAATGTATCCTGGTAAGATCTTCAACTATCTTTATGAGGTCATCTACTGTTGCATCACGCTTCATTCCACTACCCTCGTCAATCTGAAAATATCAATAAGTTTAAACTGTGGAAACAATAAATAAAATGCAGTTGTGTGATAAGTTCCCTGTTAATTCAAGAAGCCGAAAATTTTTTCATCAGCCCTGCGATTCTGTAAAAAATCCGAACCGAATTTGAAATCACTTAACTTCATCTGCTCAAATTGGTAATAACATTTCGTGGCATAAGTTTTCTTTTAAGTTTTGAAATGACATAGGAATATCTGAGACACGTATGAATCAATTATTTTTTTATACAAAAATGGAATCTATAGAATTTCTACACTAAAGTATGTGAAATTGGATACAAGTGAATTTGAATTCGGACTTTTACAGAATCACTCTGCAGAAACGTTGACTGATGAAGTAGTAATATATTTCTACAAGGTGTTACATATTAAATTTGATTCTGATCTTTAAAGTATTCAGATTCTGGGCCTTATCATCTCATAACAGTATTTCGTTCCAAAAAAATGAGACTAGAATATTCTTTCGGAGTAGTAGTCTGAGCGTTAAAATCAATTAAACTCGCCCATTAACAGCCCTCTTTTCTTTTACGTATTCAAATTTAACTCACCTGAATCCCTTGTACAGTTTCTTTTTGTATATCTCTCGTGAGATCAAGGAAGCTCTCAATGAGATCGCCGTCGATGAATCCTTCGGCTACTTCCGATGTGATATCAGAATTTAACGACCTCCAGAATGAGTGCGGAATCTTGCCCACAGATTTTATTGTGTGAGTCAGTCTTTCTTCTAGAACATGTAATAGTTCATAGAGATCTTGTGGTAATTGGACTACTAAACCTGCGGAAGAGGAATATGTACTGTATTATTTGTGAATAGGTGACAATCTAATAATAGTTTTATGATACTTTAATAATCTAACATATAAAATTCTCATGTAAGTTTTAGTTGCCATACTCCTCTGAAACAGCTAGGCTGATTTTGATGAAAATTCTTATATATTAAATAGGTCTGGGAATAGATTGTTGTCTTTTTTTATATCTCTAAGTGATAAGGGTGGTCCAACCCAAATTTAATGTCAACTTATCAATATCTTGAAATATATATTTTTACTAATTAGGCCAATTTAATTTTTTCTTGGACCAAGGCTGGGGTATTGATTGAAAGATTGGTACCAATAAGCATACATACATATGGCGCCGGTAACTGTGGCAACAAGTACTGGATTGGAGACAGGCGCGGCAGTGTCCGCGTGCTGAGATACAAGCGAGCCATGCCTCATCACATTCACCATATCGCCCACGTGGAAACGACCCATGTTGTCCAACTGCTGTCTATCCTCGTCTGTGGTCGCCGCCCTAACGTAACAACGATGCGTTTGATTAATTTCGCGAAGGACTTATGACAAGTATACACATATTAAGTAGATAAACGAAGTATTTAAAAAAATAGTTCTTGAAACCAAACTAGATATCGCTATGGTAAGTTCTTGATTTCTCCATGACAACCTTTCTGGTTTACTTTTAAGTATAAAAGTAAATTAATTTTGAAAACTCAATAAACAATTCATATTCTATGTGTACTTTTTCGTATTTGTATTCTTCTTCTTGTATTCGTATTCTTCGTTTACACAATTCCGCCAATGTCACGTTTATGGTCTTTACACGTTCTGTTGATTCTTTTTTTTAAATACTTCCTCATTCTTAATCACTCGAAATTGAGTTAACTACTTAAGCACTTATTACGTGTAAACCAGCAATAAAATATGTGTCTATATCAGTGATGTCGAGGAAGTTTGCTCGACTGTGACGTAGTGTCAAAAGTTATAAATGTGGACAAAAATATATATATTTATTCATCAAAATTGTAAAAATATATATATGATTTTGATACTAATATGCACATCCACATAATTACCTAGTGGAAATCTCATGGGATTTAATTTATTAGATGAAAAGTTTACACTAAAATTTTGAACTTGAACTGTGCCAAATGAATAGTGCACATACCCATCTTTTTGACATATGAAAAGATTAAAGTTGTTCTCTGCACCAAGGAATGTGTCATCATCTAAAATTTCAACAGACGTCATCCAATTGGGACTGTGATCGCGTGCGATTTCTTCGAAACTACCCTCCATCTGTACAAAAGAATAATGTAAGAATAATTTTTACCAATGAAATAAAATAGACTCTAGATAAATAAAATTCATTTGCAGAAGCTACCTGTTTATATTGGAGTAAAGACATTGATCTCATGATATCACCGACTAGAATGAAATCACCCTTCACTTTCAAATATAAAGCTACAATGTTATTGAAATGGCTACATTCAAGTCGTAGCTCCTTGTCTGAAGTCCATTCGAATAGTCGAACCTGTAAACAATAAAAATAAAGTGATAATAATATGTCAATAGAATTTTGTAGTTGTTGTTCTGTATAGTGACGTCATTTTAATAATTGATTTCAAAAAAGCTTCAAAACGTGAAAAGAATATTTCTTTTAAAGTCGGGTAGGTAATACTATACACATTCCTAAAACTCTTATCTCATATTGGGTTTACTTTCGTCTTATATTTTTCTTACTAATGCTAGGATACCCATTATTTGCATTGGTTTGGCAAGTAGGCTCAAACGCAGATGCAACCCCAAAAAAGGTTATAGACGTAGGCAACCGAAAATCGGTCAACTGCGAATCGGAGAGTAAACTCCTTTTTATCGATATAACGTATTGTTATAAAGATATTTACTTAATATATATATATATATATATATATATATACGTTCTGTTGTGCAGAACGAAGATTTTGTAGTGTGTAGTTCTAAGTGGGTGACATTAATAAAAAAAAAAGTGACGTCAAAAATATTTAAGTCATATTTTATTAGTAATTCTGGAAACAAATTAACGATACATTGAACTTACCGTACTGTTAATTGATGCTAGCAACTTCCCGTTAAATTCTACAAGAGAATAACATGCTCCTTTGATTTCTTTCTCGGCTACCTGTATTAATTTGCCTTCGGTCCAGTGGAATAATAACAATCTACCCTGAAATAATACACTGCACTTACTTTTAAGTCACTTAAATCATCAGCAATTCTCCGAGTGAAGCTTTATCTTAATTTGGATGGAATGACAAATTATATACCTTTCTACTTTTGAATTTTAGTTTTATTATTTTCAGTTATCTATACTAGTCAACAAAGTTGTATTTTCGTTGTATTTTATTTATGAATAATGCGACTTACTTGTTTTGGTTCAGATTCTTCAGGGTTAACGATAGCAGTGCCAACAGCGTAGTAGTGATTTGGATCCTCGCTTAGTTTACATGAGATTAGAGACATCGCGAATTCGTTTGCCATTAGTTGATGCGCATGTAGAACTATAAAACACAACGGATGAAATTAATATTACAAAAAAAAAAATGTTTAAACAAAAAGCAGTTTCGTACTATAGGAGAAGTCCATGGCAAAACCTTCGAAATATGACCTACTTAAATCAGTTTACCACAAATTATCTTTCTTATATAATTTTGAACTTTATTATCAACAGATTAAGATATAAAAATGTATAAATTCAGTAGATCTAATTTACTATAGTTATATTTCATTATATTAACTTTAACTATTAAATTACAGATAATATAGTATACATAGTATAAAATAAAGTAGCTTCCTGACGTCTGTATGATGAGATCTTCTAAAATATACAACGGAATTTTATGCGGTTATCATCAATGTACAGAGGGCTTAGTGCACTGTATTATACTCACAGGACCACGCGGGCGAAGCCGCTGGCAGAAAGCTAATATATTATACATTACATACTAATTTAAAACGAATACTTAAATTACTATTGTTATTTATGGCGACAATGCTGGTAAAACCAGTTTTTTTTGCAAAAGTGAGTTAAATACACCATTCAAAAGAAAATGACAACTTGCATCCACTGAAAAAACCAATTTCCTTTTTTTTATTTACAGTTAACAGGTTTTACCAGCACGGGTGTTATATTTAAAGTTTCGATTTGTTTCTGTTTATAATAGAGTAGTTTCGAAAGTGAAAATAAGTCCCGAAATTGCACAAAAATCAAAATTTACATCATAATAAACATTCTGATTTTGACTCTTAAAATAGCACGATTCTTTTATTATCATAAAATTAAGTCATGATTTATTGTCTGTGTGTCACGTCACTTGAAACACGACCTGCCATTGTGTGATGTCACTGTGGTGATGGATGTCGGATTAGTCATAAAGATATGCTTAATAATTATAAAGCTAATTCCTAGATGGCGTTGTTCATAGTTTATTTATATCTTTTTATTTCGTAATCGATCCTTAGATGGCATTGTTCTTGTTTTATTGACATCGTTTAATTTTCTACTTTATTTTGTGTACATATCACAATGCGGTCATGAATATGATGGACAGCGTCACCGCAGATATAAAAAAAAGGTTTGAATTTTGATTTAAGTTTAAGGCAAGAAAATATATATATATATTTTTTTTAATATCAAAATAAACAGTTACAGGTATTGTTTCAAACATAGTAGAATACCCTTTTACCTTCGAACGTGTGATGATCCAACAATAGTAGGTTATGTAATTCCAGGTCTAATGTATTAGGTGCATGCTTCGGTTGCTGCGGCGGCGCTCCGCTAGTGCTGGCGGCCGCGCTGGACGCAGAAGCGCGTACCGCCACCGCTGACGGACCAGAACTGGCGGTCCACTCTAATTTGTCCACTCGCATCGTAATCACACCGAACGTCTGCAGCAGAAATACAGGCAAATTGGTATTCTCTATGATTCGCGCTAGTTTTTTTTCGACAGTACCTTTGGGTCCTAGGTAGCTTAGTGATTAGAGCAGTGGACCCGGATTGCTAAAATTCGTGGGTTCGAGTCCCAAATCAGAGTACCTGGGACTCGTGAATTTTTTAAGCATTTTTCATTACGAATGAAATTTAAACTTGTTACAGCTTTGTTGTTATTCATTTTATAAACATGATTATAACATCAAAAGCCGTCGATTTTTATTATGCATAATATTAAACATAACGTTTTAGGCAAGATTAATAATTTTATAGTTTTTCAGGTGAATACGCCTCACAAAGTCAAACATATATCTTTATATGTCTTTTATGCCCCATAAAATGACAATTACAATACAATTTTATTTGGGAGTGTCGTATTGTTTACGTCTAATATTTTGATGATATCTAAATAATAATTGCCTTTACGTCCAAAATTATGAAAATCTGCATTACAAACCTTGAAATTTGGAGTCGTATTCACCATTTTCAGAACATACAAATACCGTTTAATGGCGCTGAAAAAACTAAATAAGGTGGCGTTCAAAACTCATATTTGAATAAAATGTGTGGTTACGCTCTTTAGAGGCGCAAGGTATCGATATGGTAAAGCTAAAATTTATTACAAATTCACGATCCGCCCCTGGTATTTTATTAATATGTCTCAAAACGCATTTGGTGTTCAATTAATTTGTGCTACTTCAAATATAAAGTGATTGTACATCAAATATATATGAACACTAGCATTCTTCCAGCGGCTTCGCTGGCATGGTCCCTAGGAAACTGTTTATTTGGATATCGAAACATATCAAGACACGGATATAATTACAATGATGATTAGTAATCAATGTTTACTATGGTAACATTTTAATACCCCTATACACACCTCCATTCGCATTTTCATCCCTTTATTTGCTGTTTTTCGGGATAAAATATAGCACATGTTCACCACATGAAGTAGCTTCCCGTAGGTGAAAGAATTTTTAAAATAGGTTCAGTAGTTCCTGAGCCTATTCGTTGTAAACAAACAATCAAATCTTGCCTATTTATATTATTAGTATTGAAGTATAGACATAGATGAGCTCACCTGCGTAGCTTCCTGATAAGCGATGCGCCTTGGAGTCTCTCCGAGTGGTACAGTGCGTATGTGCAATTTCTGGATTTCATCTATAGTTCCGATGGTTACCGTACTATCTGTCGCTAATGCTAAGCTGTAAGTTTGATAATAATGAGATTTCGTATTGTTTTCCAATATAAACTGATCAAATTGGAAGCATAACTTAACTTACCTGTCTGGATATGCAACGGCGTTTAGAGAACACATATGCGTGACTTCCTTGAGATTGACGTTGGAGAAAACCAATTTGTGATTGGATGAAAATATCACTGTAGGACGGTCCGAACATGCGAATATATTAGTTGTTGAGAGCGATCTGGGGAATAATAATTTTATTTAATATCCCCTTAAAAATAGCTCACTATATCACATTAAGGAAATTTGATTAAAAAAAAAGGTATTGACAAATGTTCTGCAAAAAAACTCTAATTTGTATAATAAATTATCTTTGTGTGCATTGCAAATAATTAAATCACACAAGTCCTTTTTTTTGCGCGCGCGCGCGCGCGAGAGACTGAGAGGGAGAGAGAGGGACAGGGAGAAAGAGAGGGAGAGAGAGGGACAGGGAGAAAGAGAGAGACAGAAGAAAACAAGTGTATTAATTTACCTGAATGTCCTGAGAACCGTGGGTTGAGTGCCGAGGGTGAATTTTTTCTTATTGCTAAGTACACCGGTCTCTTGGTCCACCGTGAAATAGAACATTGAACCATCACCGAGTGCACACAGTAAATAACAAACGCCTTCGAGAACGCAGATCAGCAGCGAACGGGGAATTATTTCTGGGTAGTAAATACACATATTTTATGTTTTATCTGCTACATTTCATTTTTTCATCAGTTTTATATTTAATCTTATATTTCCATACACAATACCTATCTAATGAACTTTTGAGTGGGTTTAAATTATTTTTTTTTTATTCGTACCAACAGCCGAAAGAAATATTTTTACACATATTTAAATTTTTGATAAAGATGAAAATTTGTTCTATTATATTTGATTAATTTCGCATCGATTATTGATGAGATATTCTCAGTATATCTGTAGTAGAGAAAAAGTAACAAGTGCTTGAAAGATTCATCAGTCCTGTTAGGTCCTGGGTAGCTCAGTGGTTAAAGCAGTCGCCCGGATTGTGAAAGGTCATGTGTTCGAATCCCATCTCAGGTTGCCAGGGACCAAGTGGATTTTTGAAGCTTTTTCTATTAAAATATTTTTCAAATTTACCTCCCGATAGTTTTTCGGTATGCAGCGGTCGAAGATCTGGTAGTCGCAGTACGCGGACCGAAATGTCTGTCCAAAGCCCTACGCCCAACAGTGCGTTTTCACCACCAGGCCCTAAATCCAGACAGGCCACCTCTTCTTCCATGCACACCTCACTTTAAACAATAATAGTAACAATACCTATATACCTATACCACAAATAAATATTTCTCTGTGGTGAGTGTTTTTTTTTTCAAAAAAGAAGAATTACTTACACCAGGTTTCACATTAGATATTCGATTTCGTTATTGTTTTTTTTCATTAAAAAATGCTATTGTGAAATGAACAAATGTTTGTAAAAGGAGCTCTGTCTGCCAATAAAGTGTTAAGCAGTTTGCCGGCATATCTTTTTTAGGGTTCCGTACTCAAAGGGTAAAAAAAGGGGAACCTTATTGACTTTGCTGCCTGTCTGTCTTTCACCAGGCTCTATCTCATGAACCGAGAAAGTTAGACAGTTGAAATTTTCACAGAAGATGTAATCCTGTTGACGTAAAAAACAAATACTAAAAACCTGCTTAAAATAACTATTAAAGGGGCTCCCATACAACCAACGTGATTTTTTTTTACTTGTTTCTGGCACGGTCCAGCTTTTTTGTCAATGTACTGGTTTCATGAATAGATAATAATAATAAAGTTACAGCAACACGTTCTATAAACATTATCGTTATGCAAGTTTTTCTTTAAATTATTCGTTAAGTATTAACGTAGTTTTGTACTTATTATATAAAAACCATTTTATTTGTACTAACAATGTTTACTGAGTTAGACTAAACAAAAATAAGTACTAGCTAAGTGTAAAAATTTGCCGAAAATGATAGTTTGAATAAGTTTAACATATTACGTACACCAAACCTTAGATTTATTATTTTGTTACCGATGACACCTATTTCGTTACTGTCCCAAAAATATTCTCTTCCCAGTTTCCCTTTTATGCATTATATTATTAATAAACAAAATTAAAACTTGTTATATACGTTAAAAATACAGAATATTTTAATAATAATAAAAAATAAGCAAGTGCAGGGTATTTACTTACGCGAGCGGTTCTAGTTTGCCCTGGTGTATCGCCACCAGGTATATGCGCGGTCCGGCTGCGCACACGACCCGCGTGTCGCCGCAAGCTACCACGGACACGCCCCGGGACCCACCAGCGGTCCATTGCTCCGCCAACTCCCAGCCCCCGGGGCCCCGCCCTATCAGCCGGATACCCTCGTCCGTCACCTACACCACATTATATAGATCAGGTAAAAGTTTCAACGTTTGTAACTTAATTAAAACTATTATCACTATTTTATTTGTATTTTTGCGCCGAAAAATTTGTGCTAACCATTCTAATAAGCCTGAATTGAAGGAATTTAAGAGAGGGCGAGCAGGAAGCGACTCTCGTCTACTGTACAATTAGGAATTCTGAAATTCTTTGGTGTCATTGCTAGGAACGAGAACACTGATAGTACATAATCTTAAGTAAACTTCTGGAAATACCGAAACGGTTGGTAGTCTGAAGGGGTGAATCTTGGTTTGCATGGAGGTTCTCGTCTTAATTATGACCAAAAATTCGATTAAAATTTATAACGAGTTATGTATCAGGTAGGTTTTCGCCTCCAAAAAGTAACGAGCAGGAAAGTAACGTGCTAATTGAATTATTCCGATTGCCCAAGATTTGATCTGCTTCAAAAAGCCTTCTGTGTAGGTACATCAGTTAGCAATATAGTTGTGTTTTATTGTATTACTTGCTATCCACGCGAATACGGAAGTAAACAGTAAACGAAAATAAATATATATTATTATTTTTTTCTGGTAGTGTTTAATATACTATTATCAATAATCACACTTTCATGCTTATTATATTCATAATATTGCTTAAATTAATTATAAAATAAAACCAAATATTTTATGCTCGTTGTCATGTAATCGCAAACAACGCGTGACGTCACGACCCTTTTACTCATATCAGATCTTAGAGAATTCAATCTTATGCCTATCTATGCATAAATCAATCAATCTGGACCTACAGGAAGCCACTAGATATTCATTTTAGAGTGCCTTAACGTCATAGCGACGCCATGGCGAAAATATTTTTTTAGATATATTTCATAAAATAAAAATATAAAAAAGGTTAACTACCTTCCTCGATTTAAATAATAATACATAAAATTTTATTAATAATTATTGTATCAATAAAATTTCATGTATCAGGAATTACCTGAATTAACTGGTCATGACAGACATTGCCAGTGAAGAATGTTTGTCTGTCTGACACAAATCCTTTGATTTCCGTTTCTTCCACTTCTTCCCCATTGAGTGCTAAGACCCTGTTAAAATTTAAAATGTTGAAATATATTTAAAACAATAAAAAGTCACAAACGCATCATTATGATGAAAAATATATTTGCATTGGCTCAGAAAATTTATGACGTTACAATTAACAAAATTTGTTTGATAATAATGTCAGGAACTGGGTTTTCCGTCATATATTTTCAATCAAATTTAAACTAAAGACTTACAAAGTAATTTAATATTTCAATTAATTTTTTTTTGGATTAAATTTTAGCCATCAATTGCTATCAATAATTATATTCTTATAATTTTGGCACGTTTATTCATATTGGCACGTCTATATTATTATTCCTAATTGTAATGCACTATTTTTCTTAATTTTTTTTTTTAATAATTTAATATTGTTTCAATTTTTTTTTGTAATCATTTTTCTCCATCAAATCGGGTGTAGACGATTTTTTAAATAATTTTGTTTTATAGATATACAAAAATTATCTCTCATATATTAATTGAAAATCTCAAAATAAAATTCATGTTCAAAATTTAACGCTCAAATGCTAACCTCTGTCATGGCGTTGATGTGACGTCACAACCCTCTAAAACTAACATAAACACAACAACAAAGTTAAAAGCACAGTTCTATGTATATCAAAATCAAATTTATGATATATTTCTTAGAGGACTGTGAAGTCACGTGACGAGAATAAAATAAGTGTTCTTTTCATAATTAATTTAAATAATATTTTAAATAAAATAAACATGGTAGTGTGATTATCGATAATAGTATATTAAATACTATCAGAAAAAAAATATATTTATTTTCGTTTACAGTCTACACCCATATTGCTGTAATTATTTGTATTCTTATAATTTAATTTATTATTTAAATCGGTACGATAATATTTTTATTCACAATTTTAATGCATGATAGATAACAGATAATTTATTTGCTGCTTTTATGTTAAATGAATAAATAAATATACCTCGTTTGACCCACAAAAGCCAACACGAGCGTGTCGTGGTGCGAAGAATTCTCAGCAAGTGTGAGTGCCCACATGCCCTTGATGCCCGGAAGATCAATAGACGCCTGTTCCTGAATGCCTATCCCGTTTCGTATGACGCGCAGTGATCCCATTTTGAATGCACCTGCATATGAAAAAAGCCATTAAAACTAACACCAATTATTATAAGACAACATTTTCTAAAGCATTATGTTTCCGTTCTACGAGGCATACTAAGTAACATAATAGTATTGTGGCGAATCGTTAAATTCCATACTAAAATATTCTAACCCTATGACTTTTCCATACAGTAAGCGATAGATTCGATTCTTCCTTTAATTTACTACATAATTTCCTTTTCCATGAAAATGAGGTATTGTTCTGTGAAAAAATGTTTTACATCATTCTATTATACCATTTAAATAGTTATATTTAACATACCAGAACATGTGATGAGTTGGTTTTGGCCCTGCCTCTCCAAGTCGACAACGCACATATCGACTATAGGTGCGAGACTTGTGAAACTCTCCATTGGCTGGACATATTGGTTTGCTTCGTCTCGTGTCGCAGACAAACGGACTAGCGCAGAGTCTCCCAGCCGTGAGCCGATAAATACCACGCCATTGTCCAGGTACGTCATGCATTCTGGTATCGGTATGTCACCTAAAAAGTACTACCACTTAATATTTTAACCAGATTTCCTGTCCTTTTTGTTTTATATTAGAGTACATTTCAATTGGTTTTACACATTGCAAATGCATTTGAACAGTTTCAGATACGTAGTTCAGGAGATTACTCTCCACAAATATACAAACATTTTTGCGCCCTAAGGTGGGTGGACCATGGAAAGCCACACTAACGAATAAACAGTTTTTCTTAGTTCATTTACGGGTTAAATGAAAGCAACTAATTATTGAGTAATGCTTTGTTCTATTGTGTAACTTGAAAATTTATTCTTTTTATTGTAGATGTCATCACTATTAATTAAATATTACTTTTATTAAGCTCTTCCAAACGGCCTTCCAAGAAACAGAGCTCATGCAAGGCCAATATTATAAATCAGTCGCTCAACTGAAAACTACAGCTTTGATAATCAAAATATTCTATTTTTATAAAACAATATAGAAAGCTCTTTCATTTAAACATTATAATTTTCTTTAAAAAGCTCAACGAACATTCCCTTAACACCATCGTTAAAATAAGAACATATGAATGGAAATTATTTAAAAATTATAGTATTGAGTTTTAGATCGCTAACAAATAAGTTGCCAATGCGTTTTAGAATAAAACTATAAAAAAAATGACACCTATAATGGTCTACTAATGGGTCCGTTTTTTGCAAGGCCAAAATGTTCCTAAGAAGACGAAACTAACAATTATTATCTAAGACAAGCTTTTTTTAATCTATAACTAATATTATAAAGGGGAAAGATTTGATTTTTTGTTTATTTAGATCGAATTATCCGTTCAACTATTTTAGATATATTTTGAAACAAATAATTTTAAATAATAATAAAATATTAACTTTCCTATTACGTATTTATAACTAAAAACGAAGTGTTCATATTTCTATGATTTGCAAATGTTCGTTGTAAAACCCAGGTGCCCTAGTAAGGCTAAGATCAATTTTTTTTCATTGGCCTTACAAGGAAACACTGACAATATTTTACTGAAATTGAAACAAGATGAAATCTTTTTATGATTTACAAAACAAAAAATAATATTATAATAGGTTATTTATATTAAAAAGACCTTTTGTTGTGTGCAAGAACAACAATTTTAACGTCAATGACCGAAGTCTAAGAAGCGAGGGACCTCACCATCAAACTACCGTCACAAGCGACTTGCCGTTTCGTCTGTGTCCTTAGGTTTGATAGAGCTAAGTGTGAGTGGAAGGAATTTGTTAACATATGACTATAACTATGTTTTTTTATAGTTGGCCTTCGAAGGAACATGGCTTTCCATAGTCCACCCACCTTATAGTTATTAAGGCCTTACTAATAAGTAAGGTCCAAGAGTTGTATAGTTACAGTGTTACGTCTTTTTCACACAAACAAAAAATCAAACAGAGTTAATTGTAAAACAACGTTTACATTTTTCTTGTTAGCATGGGTATAAATATATAAGTATAGGATATTCAAATTGTCAAACTAGTTAGGTAGAACCTGGATATATAGTGCAACAAGGATCTTGTAAAATATTAATTGTTGACAAATCGCTAAGTATTGTTTGTAGTTAGTATTGCCAGATCCATTGTACACTAATTTAATAACACTATAGTGTAAACAGTATTATTAATAAACTGACAATTCCACAACATAAGATTGAATTTGAAAATTTTAAACACGACCAACTATAAAGATTCAGAACTTTTCCATGCATTGTAAATTGGATTATAAATATTATAGTGGTTTCACCGAATAACGAATAATATTCGGTTTAAGCTTAAGCAAACTGGGTATGAGGCCAAATTATTCAGTTTATCAATTCATTATTTTTATTTAGCCAGAATGTTTCTCAGTGCTCCTAGTATTATAGCGAGTTTATATCAAACGAATATTTATTTTAAAGCATTTAACACAATGCATCTTTATTTATAGTCTCAATAGGTCCTAAACACAAAACAGACAAAAAGAGGAACAGCTACTAATAGTTTCAGTAAAAGAGGTACCTACTAAATAAAGAGACTATGTGTGTACTAATAATTTGGTTCAGTGTTTTGACTTAACAGGCGACTCGGAGGCCAAAGATGTTCCATGCGAAAAAAACGCAGTTTTAAATAATCTTTAACTTGGTCATTTGTTAACGGATTTTAATTTTGTTTTCTGATTTATTTAGTTTTGTTAAATATATTAATATAAACATCATGAAACTTCCCCATTCAATGGATTTAATGAAAATAATAAAAAGATAAGATCTTTAAATACAATGGATGATCTAAGAGTTAGACATACTGACCCAATAAATCCACTTTTAAGTCCTTGACAGTTTGCGTGCCATCCATTTTTTCGTGTAATTCTAAAAGCAGCATAAAGAGACGTCCTGCTATGTCGCCCAATAAATATCGAAGTCCGCGGGTGTCCACGCGACAATAGCAATTTATTGGCGTCAACTAAAGAAAAAATATTTCATATCTTTATTAAGAAAGTTTGAGTGTACTAATGCACGCACACCATACATTTGTACACTAGGAAGGAACCAATATTTGAAGAAAAAGCAAAGATGGCTGTGTGTTATACAATCTCATGCACAGTTAAAGTAACTACTAAATAAGATACCACAAGATCATTTCTACCATAATACTGGTTCCAAATATCCGTGAAATGTATTCTACCCTCTAATGCGCATTATGCCAGCATGGAAGGTTAAGGCTCACCCTCTTTAACTATCCATAAGTAAGGGCTGAGCCCCTGCAGTGAGGACATAAATTAAGTTTTTAAATCAAGAAAAACTACCTTGATTTGAGGTGGAGCAACAGCTACATAGTTTTGCCCATCATGATACACAATACTTTCTTGTCCAATCACGATAGCACCACCTTAAAGCATATTTACAATAGGTAAAATTCATACCACTTATTATTTTATATTGGTAGTACCACACAGTCCGGCGACATGAAACGGGCGGCCGTGACACCAACGAGTCTAACCGCCTTTGTATGCTGCAGAAGATAACTCGTTAGAGCCGCGCTTTCCAGCTTTTGCTTTGCTTTATGGTGATGCCGCCGGGCTGTGTGGATTCACCATAATCAAATAAACATTCAAGACTTGGTTAAATCATAACCTCATGCATGCTTTTGCTTTAATGTCAACAATGAATAGACAGAGAAAAGCTAACTATCAAACAAAGGAAACAGGTGGAAGTTGGTCTGATATCTGGAAGGGAGGCAATTCTCATCATGGAAACAGTAGACAAAAGGTAACATATAAACAGTATGCATAGGAAATGAAAGCCAAAAAATAGGTAGAATGACTGGCCTTAGAGTTGGAGGGGATAAGAGGACATCCTATTGTGGTAACTGGTATTGACAGCTTATTAGTTACATTTTTATACATGGGGTTTATGAATTTGCAGAGTACTGTTAAATATTTTATTTACCAAGGGGACTAGGGACTGGTATAAGTATTGATGCTTCAGTTTCCACATTATCTTGCTTCCATGGAATTTTACAGAATTCTTTATCCCTCAAACTAATTTCATGAGTCTGAAAAAGTAACAAGAGTTCTAAAAACACAAATATGTTTTTCAAATATGTCTCACCATGATGTTTAAATTAAAATGCTTAATGTAATTTTCTTATAATTACTATAATAACCTTTATATGTCGTCCATTGAGATCTTGATGAATCAAAATGAGTGTAGGATTTGCACACCCATGCATAAATTCAACATCATAAACATTTAACTCCTCTAGTCTAGAAACATGAAACAACATCAATGTATATAGAAAATTTTTAACAACACTTCTCTCTTATTTATTTCATATAGAGATGTTGAATGAAGGCTAATGCATTTGAATTTGCCACTAGTCACTAGTGCAGTGTGAGATACTAAACCAATGAGCCACAAATTTATTTTTAAATAAGTTAATTTTGCACTTGGTATATTTTAGGGTATCTGAGATTTATTAAAACAATTATGAATTCCTGAGCAATGAATATCAGCTCTTTAAAAACAGTGTTAAGTAAAAGTGCTAAATCTAAGGCATGTTCGAAATAAAATGCATGATTCAAGTTCAATCTCACACTAAACATGACAAGACATCTTGCAATCATCCATCTGGTGAGTGAAAATACAGTAGCCCTCATTGAAACACTTCATTATACTATGAGGTATGAGGAGGAATGCTAATTTACATGAAAGAAAAATTACACCAGTTCAAGGTAGATAGACCTGAACCTGGTGAATTTTCAAATTTTAAATGAGCTCTACTTTTAAAATGTTATGAGTTTCTATTAGATTCATATTAGAATAATTAGATTCATTACATTAAAAAATAATAATTTCAATGTTTATACTGCAATAAGATAAATACTAATTATATTAAAACAGGATTTTATTAAATTTCTACATCTGTAATTACATAAATGTTTCGAAAAATACCCCTAAATTGATTATTTATTTAAAGAAATAATATTTGTATCACCAAAATATATAATATTTTATAAATTAAAAAAAAAAAAAACAATTTTTAAGCTTATGCTTACCTCAATGAAGCTGCTTTTAACTCTGTAGAATCTTTATCCAATGGAATAATTTTAAAGAGTCCATCATACAGTCTTAATCCAATCACTCTAGCTTGAGGGTCAATGACAGCCAACATTCCATTCTCAGAGGGTTTACCTACTCTACTTGACACATCACCATGGGCCCTGGTGATAACTTCCAGCTGACCATTAGGTCCAGTCTTCCACTCCAATATCATGGCATTATAGCGAGCAGTTAAAATAAACACTAAGTCCTTATTTTCATCCTGGAAAATTAATTGTACATGCAGTAGAGGAATGTAACAAATTATCGGTTCACATGGTGGATAAAATATCAACTAAATCTCCAATAAGAATTGTTGCAAGTTAACAATAGATAAATATTATGTTAATCAAAGGTAAAGATAAAGAAAAAGAAAAACAAATCTGATTTACTATTTGTGTGTTCACAAATATTCCTTAATTGAAATTCAGACTTACCGGAGGTCTAAACATTTTCATTTTGGCAACTCTTCCATACAAGCCCACCTCTTTCAATGGACGAAGACCCTCTGGGGTCACTAGGTACATTTCCAAACGGGTAACTTTCGCTACCAGCAGATTCAAATCGGTAGGTGAAGTGAAATTTCCTAAAAATAAGTTGTCAATTTTCATATGTTGCACAAAAGAAACAGGTGTATAAATTCATTGCAAATTTGAAGAAAGCGGTGCAGTAATAGTGCATTTTTAAAAGAATCATTTGGTAATTGGTAGAGAAACAAAAGAGAAAATTGTGAGCAAAGCTTAATCTATTTCCTATTTGTTTTGTAATGAAATACATCCATTAAAAATTATCAAAATCGCCGGTCATATTATTTTAACAATTTTATTTATAACTATGTTAAAAGCACAAGAGAGCTACAACATATTATGCTATAACGCCGGTAAAATATTAGAAATAGCTCATGCTATACGCATATAGTATAACCTCTATGCCATTATATTATTTTTATATTTATTACCTGTAACACATGCTGTAACAGCTGTAGGTTTCTGAGCAGTGACAACATAATGATAAGCCATTTTATTGCAATAAAATTATGTTATGTTTATTAATTCAGTACAATTTATTATTTGTTCGAAACGGTATCACAAAACACAGATCCAAGCACAGACCACAGCACAGACAAAAGTCCAAAATAGAATTGGGCAAAAACTATCGATCAAAATATCGTTTTTTTTTTAAATCGATATTAAACAACTATATTTTTTCCGCGATATATCGGCTTTTGATATTTATTTTCAGATATCAAATTCGTAACATAATCAATATATTTTTTAAAGGTTTGCTGTCTTCTTATACGTCGCATCATGTATTTCTTAAAGGAGAATGCCAAAATACGGCTTGTTGCCGACAATCAATTTATTATCATTGCAATTTATATTTTATAATACTTTAAATTATCAACTATTAATAGATTGAAAAAAGCACAGTTACGAATAACTTTCGTAAAGTTAATCAACGACTATTACATGAAAAGTACGACATTTACATAAAAATTGCCAGTAAAAAGTTAAAATAACTAATCTGTCGAAAATCGATAATCGTTATGAATAAATCAATAGTTGTGAAAGTGAATAAAAATACAATAAATACGCCATGTTTTTCTCTTTTGTACTGCATAAAAATATTTTTCCTTATTACATATTACATAACTGTAATTAGTAAAGATATAATAATCATACTATATATATAATTGATTATTACTCTTTCACCCTTCAAGCCATACGACTGTGGAATGGCCTCCCCGACATGATCAAACGATCTCCTGATAAATTCATCTTTAAACGGAAAGCTCACACTTTTCTCCTGGAACGTTTATGAAGATCATCATCATATATGTATTATATTTATGTATTTGTATATGTACTTATGTTTATGTGTACTATAATATTTATTTATGTTTATATAATTGTATATAAATTCTTATGAAGTCTAGTTTAAGTAGTATATTTATAAGTTAGCTTTATGCCGCCATCGTGTATTTCTGTATCCCAAAGGTAGAGAATGCTAATAGCATTAAGTCCGCCTTTTGTACCAATTTAATGGACAATGAAGTTTGTTAAATAAATAAAATAAATAAATAATTTATTAACAATTGATGTAAATCGCTTGAAAACAATTTAACATTCAATAATGGCAACACTTTTTTTAATTGTTATAGTCAATAATAAACATTATAATGTGGTCAATAATAAACATTACTTTTTGCGGTACAATTCGTTCACTTTGTTGTTCGGTGCTTTCTGCTGTTATTTATTCTATCTATTGACCCGGTTTCCAACTTGAATCTGAAACTTCTAAATTATTGATCCGGATTTTAACTATGACCAGAATCTGTTTTATATGTTGACTCGGCTTTTAACTTGGACTGCACCTGTTAGTCTCGTCGACTCGGCTTATTTTCACGGATTTGGAATCATGCTGCGATGTATCAACTGTGGCCTGAATGTCACTCGAATTAGAATTAGACACTCAACAGAGCATTTGTCTGTAAACATCCGAGATGAAATCCAACAACGAAATTCTCTGCCAGACGTAAGTATTTCGATGCATGTACGACTTAAATGCTGTGGGTATTTACATATTAACGTAGATCACTGAAAACATTAATATTAACCCTTACGTTTTATCTACAGATACCAAGCAACAGTGTGGTGTGTCATGAGTGTTGGTTGTTAATAAATGAAGTGCCTGGAATAAGTCGATCACGTATTGGTAATGAAAATAAATAAGCTATAGTAATAAAAATAAGTCAATTATTTGACAATCATAATTTACCATTATATTATGCTTATGCTTTGTATGGAATGAACACATCCAAACAAACTGAGCATATAATTAACTATAGATAGTATTTTAAAACTAATGGGATGGTGTCTGTACTTTGAAGATATTTATATAAAATCAAATCCAAATGATGACCTCTGTGGCGGAGTGGTGTCTACACAGAACTTTAGGTTGCGGCACCTCAAGAGGTTCTGGGTTCAAACCATGGTTGGGGCGTTTATTTGTGTGATGAACACAAATATTTGTACCTGAATTGTGGTTGTATCATCCATATTTATGTATTATTTAGTTGTCATAGTATGAGATTTGTTAGTTTTGCTCTAAATAATTGTTGTGAGTTGTCAAAATTTTATGTATTTGGAATCCCACTCAATGGATTTTGATTGGGTTTTTACGTGGGTCGAAATTGAAATCTAAACCATATTTTATCTAGAATAAATGCTATAAACATTGAAAGAAATGATTATGTAACAATATTTCTAATGATTTTATTTCTTTTCAGCTCCGATCATCAGACAGAATTTGTGACCCTTGTTGGCAAAGGTATAATAGTTTAGCTGTAATTAATATCTGCATCATCTGCAAGTTCTGCACCAAGTGTTCGAGATACATCTTCTCGAGAATTGCCAATTCACGAGCTGGAGCACTCTAATGATGATAACATTATATTAGTCTCGAATTCCAGGGAAAATACTTGTGTGGCTACACCACCAGTAAGACAGTAATAAGACTACATCAGTTAATGGAAAATTTATTTGTATATCCGCCAATGAAATAAGGAGCTCTTAAAAGAACTATTTCAACGTCACTGTCCGTATGAAACAAAGGAGAAAGCAACGCAACAAGTGCGTGTCAACAGCTGCGCGCCACATGTCAACCTTCCGCAGCGCAGTCACCCGCACGCTCACCCGACGCCTGGCAAAAAGGATCTCGTTAACTCTATGCCAGCCTTTATACGCCACGTCACACGATCCCTCGCCCCGCATCTCAGTCCCTTTCCCTTTCCTCTCGTCACTTTCCCCTTCCATTGTAAATATTGTAGCTTTCTCGCAATTGGTTTAAAATGTACATTTCTCATTGGTTAAGTTTGTATTTATAATTATAAGGAATTTTAATTGGTAAATATTATATTACGTTTTAGTATAAGTAGTTGTAAGATTTGTAAATAAAACATTCCATCCTTCCACCTTCTACGGAGTTTTACTACCCGACGACAAGCAAGCCTACGACCCGATCAGAGTTGCCAAACTTGCAAGTGTACCTACAATAATTTTGGTGAGGCGTAGAACTGTAGATTGCTGTGCTCACATAATAACGATCATTTGGTATTTAGGATGGGCTAGATATCAGTCAAATATGGAACCACCAGCACAATTTTTATATAATTTATTAAATTAATATGATAAAATTGATTAAACTGATAATTAAAAATATTCATCTTTACATGTTTTTAATTTATAGATCCTTTTTTATGACTTAAAAGGTTTCGTCCTTTACCTAAAATTCATAAATGTATATAAATAGGCTATTGTTGAAAAAAACAAAAACTTTTTTTAATATAGCTTTTTGTTGTGAGTTTTTATTAAAGATATAATGTGCATATAATTTTCTATATTTTTTGCTCTTTCTTACAATACACTCTTGTCTGTCGGTTCTGGCCGAAGTTTCTATGGAAGCTTGGCATTGTCCTTTAAAAAAGTAGGTAGGCATTAGGCTGCATGAGTTTAGAAATTATAGTCTATGACCTGCTTGTCTTTTTTGTTTCTTTATGACAATGACACTGCTCGTTGGTTTGGTTGGTATCTCTGAGAGTGCTCCTGATGTTAATATCAGACAAGTACTGATTTGTTTGAATAATGTAATTTTTGTTGTGTTGCTGATATTGTTTTCTTGGCTTTGTGTACCAGTTTTAAATAACAAAACAGCCAGGTTATTATTTGCTTTAAAATTTCGAATATTTTGGCAATTTTAATTCATAATCGCTTATTGCGCAGAAAATATCGATATGTCATTATATTTTTGACAATATTTATATTTGAAAAATAACGATACGACATATCGATATTTTTTACCATTTGCTCATCCCTAGTCCAAAATAGGGCTGTGAGATTTAAAAAATTGATGTTCTAATATCGATGTTGCGATAACTAAACATCGTAACATCCATGTCACAAATTATATTCATTTATTTTTACGAACGCATCCTAAATCAATAATTTAAAAATCTATAATTCTTATATTTTCGAGTCTTAATTTACAACCAGAGACACATAAAATCACAATAAAAGCAAATGGTTGTATGAAGGTTTAGTGGGTGTGCCGAGCGAACATGTTCTTCTCAGTAAGAGGAACATTTCATCCTTAATGAGAACTTTATAGGACGTCTTTAAGTAGTAACTCAGAGACATAAGCGGTTTCACTAGTATATTCCAATGCTTTTCTAGTCTAACTATATATCTTCTATTAGTTTTGTCCATTTTTCTTTCACTGTTGTTATTTCCAGTACCCTTATTCTATAACTCTGGCAACTTCTGAGTACAACCGTAATTATTCTCCGCCCAGTATTATATTCAGGTAGCTACGATTGTACCTATATTGATCTAAATCTAAATTCATAGATATCTCTTCTTGGTCTGTGGTATCTACAGTGCTTAACTGGCGACTTCGCTCGCGTAAATTCCTATGCGATCTGGCTGATCAATCCCTGGAATTAGCTATATTTAAATTCGATGAGCCGGTCCCCCGGGGGTTCATCTCGATGCCACTATTTATGTAGGTGAATAGTGACGTCTGCACCCCCCCTTGCGGGGGGGCGGTCACTCCGGTTGAAGGTTCGTTGCCCTCCCAGGGCATGCAACCAACTGTCCACGGCGGTGTTTAATCAGTAAGAGTCTGGCATAACCTCACAGCCGGCTGTGAGGTATCTAGTGAAAAATTCACCGCCTCGTTCCCCCGTTGGCAAGGTGGTTCCAATCCCCTAAGGTTGAGGGCCGGGAAACAAAAAATTCGAAAATTTTAGCCTGTGTCAACCGTGTATATATGTAGCTTCCCGTTAAATCGGTCCAAAAGTTTCAGTCTTAATTCGATACAAATATCCAAATCTAGGGTGGATTTGATTAGGAATGAGGAATTATTTAAAAAAAAACATTAGTTCCCGAAATCAAACTAGATGTCGCTACGGTACGTTCTTGGTTTCTCTATGACAACCCTTCTGGTGTACTTTCATGTTTAAAAGTAAATTAGTTTTCAAAACTCAATAAACAAATCATATTCTATTTGTCCTTTTTCGTATTTGTATTGATCTATGTTTCGCGCTATTCAAATTTCATTTTTTTAATATGTTAGTTAAAAGGAACGGAAATTACTGGATTTGGTCCATTTGTTTCCTGCAAAAATCAACTTTTACTAGAGTCGCCATCTAGTGGAGGTGCTTTTTTAGTACTTTCGTTTTTTTTAAACTTCCTCATTGACAAGTGTTACTTAATTACTCGTTTATCCACCAAAAGACCAACAATAGACATGTCAAAGTAGTAACACATTGAGTACTTTTAGGTGAATGTAGTTACATGAAACGATACCTATATCGGCATCACATTGTTAAGATGTCCGTATCATATCACTAAAATTATGTTTAGAGAGCCGGTCGCACCCCTGTTGATCATGCATGTAGGATTTTAATCATTAACTCTATTCTATTTAATTTTTTATTACAAGGTATATAATACAAATACAGGCGTATAACATTTTGAGCTTATAATAATCATTATACTTTCAGTCTTGACGATTACTCGGCGGAACACTTTCAAACAGTATTTGAGTCAGGAATGTGATTTTATCTGTAAAAAAATATTCGTATTATACATTCGGTTGTTCTAGACTTGGTCGCGCTAAAGCTAAAGTGCACTAAAGATTTCCAGATTATTCCAGATTAGGAGATTTTTTCAGTTCAGAGAGTTCAAACTGGTTCAAACATATAGTTTACTTTACATGGCAGGCTTTCTTCCCTATAGCCCAGTGAACATTAGGTTACTAAAGAAACAACTAGCGGCGTAAGTTGCTATCTTTACATTTTCATCTAGACTATTCTTTGTGGATTTGGAGATTGTCTAATAACCGAGAATTTGGGTCAATCGATTAGGGTGCAGCAACTGGCTACATATTTTTTTAGTTAGGTACTATGTAGAAATACATTGTATATGTCACCGTAAAACAATAAATTTCGCCATTTTATAATCTGTTTCATTAGATTGTAAACATTTAGTTTCAGTGCAAATCTGACGTAAGATTCGTCTCATGTCTTAGTACTCATCAGATCGTCTGTAGAGTGCAGAAGGTTGAATATCATAATTATAATTGTCAGTTGTAACGTTTCGCGACTGAAGAACTGCGACGCATTTTCCTTCAGATATGCACTGTCAGTCCTGTTAGCTGCAGCTCAGTGGTTAGAGCAGTCGCCAATATTGCGAATGGTCATGGGTTCGAGTCCCACCTCAAAGTGCCAGGGACAAAGTGGATTTTATTTGGCATTTTTCATTTAAGTTTAAGTTTGTTAAAAAATTTCTTCTATTATTTAAGACGTTAGAGGTTTTCGTGTAGCATTTGAAAAGTGATTAAATTCGTATCTAAGTATTGTTTGTTTTCTAATAAGTGATGTTTATATAAAATAATGTGGTGAAAAGTAGTCCATAGTAATAAAGAGTTTTACTTAGACCCAAAATTTTGTTTTGTACAATACACATATGTAAACAATTACTGTATTGCACAAGTCTTTTGATATTATAAAAAATTCGCAACTCGGTCTTTACACTTATAATAGGTTGCTATATGAATAAGGCTTATTTTTTATACATAAAAACTCTACTTACTTAAAAGGGCAGTGGGAGTCTTCTTATGATATACAAATATTGTATAAACCACTCCTCCCATAACAATAAACCCGATCGCCATGAGATACTTCAATGATGGGTCGTGGACGATGGGTAAAATGGACAGAAATATCGCAACTAGCAACACAAAGCAAGGTACCGACGTTGGTACTCTGTACGGTCGGGGTTTATTCGCTTGAGTCTTTCGGAGGACGAGCAACGCGACCATTGCGAGCCCGTAGAAGAACCAGAGGAACCAACTAGCGAACTCTATGAGGGTCCTGATGTTACCAACTATGATGAAGATCGAAGTGAGGATTGCCTGGAAATTAATAGTAATAATATACTTAGGATATTTCTTTTATCTTGATTAGATTGTATTTTATGCTAGATGAGTATCTCGGTGGCGTAGAGGATAAGCGCCTAGACGTGCGATCGATGTTGTTAAGCAACTTTCGCAAGTGTCGGTCACGGGATGTGTGACCAAAAAATTATTATTTCGAGCACTATATAGAATTATGCTTCGGAAGGCACGTTAACCCATTGGTCCCGGCTGCATTTGCAGTTATAACGCGTTGGGTCCGCTTGGAGGGTCATGGCATATCCTCCTTAACCATTCATAAGGAAAGCCAGAGCCCCTGCAATGGGAACGTTAAAGGGCTGATGGTGATGAGATTGTATTTTTAGTAATAACTAATTGATATGCACTTACTTGGAATGCAACAGCTGGTGCTGGCGTCAAACGCTTGACGTTAACATATGAAAACATCTCCAACATGTGGCCTCCGCGTGCTGCAGTATAACAAACTCTAAAAAGGATAATATAATATTGTTACTAGGGATATAAACTAAAATCAGCAGCCGTTAAACATTTACATCATAATCGTATATGTAAGGAATTGTATAGAGCATAAATAATAAATATATCAGTTTTAATAGTAGTGTTTATTTATCTTAAGCACCTGAAATAGAATAAATCTCTGAACAAGTTATTATTGTAATATTATTTGACGATTTATAGTCCCCGCAGACTGCGACTTACCATCGGCCGATTGTTCAGTCGAGTTGATCTGCTAGTGCGCACACTGGGCCAATTAAACAGTTGGGTTGGACTTGAGGACTCAGATCAGCCAATCGAAAGTCGACCGACCTATTTCGGTAAAGTTGGTGGAGAGATCAGTGGCGTATAATGTTGCTTAGAAATATAATTGTTTCTTTATACCTACTTGATATAATCGGCAACTCTAATATATAAAACTAATGCTACATCAGTTGCATGTTTTATGTCATGTGCATTGTTCAAGGAAATGTTAAATTAATTGGAACTGTCAATTAAATAGCGAAAAAGGACACATATTTATGACTTTCTAGCACTGCTTGTTTTGAGCGCAAAAAAGGAAAAAGCCAAGTGTATCGGCCTATTCAACGGGCTAGTGTACCATACTATCATATTGACATTATATCGGCCGATAGAATGTCTGTACTCTGCGGGGACTCTTATAGCTGGGCGTAAAATAAAAGAGAGAAGATGACGCTTGTACCTATGTAAAAAACTATTTTTAATTCATCAATCGAAAACCATTACGATTATTGCAGATCTTGCATATAGCTGCGAGAGCTATGGATTCAAGAGACTCACATTATTATATATCAATCTTCGATAAGAATCTGAAAAGTGGTGATGTTTGAGCCGATTTCGTGATTGTTTTTCTATCGAGAATTTATAAATTCTTTTTTTGACTGTAAAAACCCTTACAAACAATGTTATAGTTTCCTCATTTTTAATTAAAGCTCATGTGAATATTTGTTATTGGTACACTGAGCGACCTGTCAGGCTACCACAATAGGTCTTTCTTCAGTTGATTTTGAGCTTAATCCGCAATGCATTAAAGTTTAAAATTGTGTGAAGAATTTTGACAGTTTAACCTGATGTGTTGTTGACTGTACAAAAACAATAAAAAGTTTTTTTTTGTATAGTGTGGCGATGTTGGCGCGACGTGGCAGATGTCGCTACGACGATCCCATAGTACTGACAAAGACGGTATTCCTATTATGCTCAAAAATCAATGTTTAACTTACTTTCGAGTTGATTTGAAGGAAATAGAAAAGAGATGGTCGTATACATAACTCGTTCACTTACAGACAAAGGATTTTAAAGCGATTTTGTGAACAGTGGTATATATTCAGTCACCTGGTAACACCGAATTGTACGCTCATCGCACATCCAAAGGTTGCTACAGCAACTCCGAGCGGTATGAGGAAGCTGGCAGGACCTAGTACCCTAGCACCAAACACCACTGCAACAGCGGGCACCGACGTCATCTCAGCATAACTCAGTACAGACATGTAGGCAACATTCATGAACACATAGAGTGTTGTGATGAGAGGTACTGCAATCGATATGCTGAGTGGGACATTCCTGTACAATAGAGAATTTAGGTATAAAAACCATAGTAGCATTTAGTATAATAATGGTTATTAAACTCAAAGCTAAGGTCAAACATTTAGAATAACAACGTATTTAAAACATCAATTATGCTATAGTGAAGTTAACCAACTTTGATTTTTTAGTCAAACATCGGCCCATAATTAAAAATAAAGGAAATAATTATGTGGTGTATAATAAAACCCATTCATATCAATTAGAACGACTTTGCAGCATTTAATTAAAAATACTAAAATCTATTTCTATTTTATATAGATAACACTGATAGCGAGTTCGTCTGCCGAATTTTTTATGAACATTGGAAAAAAATATTGGGTAACCTAACTCAAAGGAAGACAATTTCCCTTTAGTCTCCCTTACCAGTTGTTACCTGCACGGTGGCACCATAACCACCTTTTTGGTTCTACAAATACATATTCAATCATTTTTACGAATGCATGGCACTTGAAAAAAGTGACTAAAGATGACGTATGCATATTATGTATACAATAAATAAACTTTCAACGTTATATAATACTATATTGTCCAACTTTTATTAACTAGAACAGAGCACTTTTGCAAAATTGATTTCGTTATCAATGCTATAAAGAAAGAATGTTGACTCACGACCAGTGCAAATAGCATCAATCTGTTATCTAACTACCTATTAGCCTAGTCTATATATGAAATAAGCGTTTTTAATGAAGTTACATTATTCTACTAATAATCATAGTTAGAACCTAAACAGGCTTAATTATCATGCATTGAAAATAATGAGACAAATTTCTTAAGATTAAATTCAGGATAAGCAAGTAAAGTACTTATAAGAGAAATGTTCTCTTTTTATAATTTTGTGTACATATGTATATACTTTGAAACAAAAATCAACATTTTGACCTTAGATGAATCTAGGAAAACTTATAGATTATTTATACTTATAGAATCATCGCTTTGGTTTACAGGAATAATTGCAGCTATAAGGGCCCTATTAGCTTTCACACTAGTTATTCCTTGTATAAATTTATTAGTAAATATTTTAGAAAATCCAGCAGGCCTTTAATTACTTTTTATGATGAATTAAAGTGAATGTGGATTTCCGGTAATAGCAGTCCTGCGCGATACCGCTTTCGTAAGCCCCATAACACTTGGGACTGGAAAATTGTACAGATCTCGGAATACTGATATTAGATTGGAAGGCCCAACTTTAATATTCAAGTATAAAATTAACTTAATAGTCTCTCAGCTCTGGAAGCCATTGAAGATAGATAAATTAACATGAAATCTACGTCTTTTAAATATGATTACAGCAAATTCATATTTACACTCCAGGATTGATGATCTCCTCAGTAACAACTGTCACACTGTTCCAGCCATCATAAGCCCAAAGGCCAGAATACAATGCTAGTGCTATACCTCCTGCACTTGTTGTGCTACCTTCAAAGCCTTTGTCCAAGTGTTCTGTATTACCTAAGAATAAGAATATTTTTATTGACATTCACACCATAACATTACAATAACAAGAAGAAAAGACAAAATTCATTTATAAAACTATATATAAATGTGTGGTTATATCGTGTGAAGGCCGATTAAGACCCTATATAAATGCGTTCTATCTAAAAACTCGTATAACTGTAACATATATATAGTTTGTATATACGTATTAAAATATAAAGTAGAGGAAAGTATAGGTACACATATAGATATAACAAAAGTAAATACTTATAAAATAAAATATTACTACAATACACAGATACGTGAAATAAGAAACATAAAAAACATATAGTATTAACTACAAAAATAATATAATCATCTACATTCCATTCCACTTTGCATCGCATCAAAGGTATCGATACATTGAATATATAGAAGAGCCATACCTGTGTAATATATAGAAGAACAACATCATTAAAATAATTATTATTAATCGAAAAACTGCTTGCTGGTGGCCATTTTTTAAGCATGATTCACTAAAACATATTTAGCAGTATAGTATTTGTAATGCAAGATTGATCAAATAAAATAATTAATATGATTTTCTAGCAACCCATTCTCATGGCTAGGCCAAAGCACAAGCTTTCGCTTTGGACAGAATTAACAGATTTACACTGTAAAGTATGATTTATAACACAATGTTTAGGCTTAGTGCAGCTTGGTGATTGAATGTTACTTTATGAGTGGAAAAAGTATGGGAAATGCCGAGAATGGAATAGCTACTAAACTTATGTGAAATTCATATAAAATAAGATCTATTTATGATATCAACATATAATAACTGCGAACATACCTTTGATGATTTCATATATTCCTCCTCCAATAACAATCAGACAGGCAAACACTTTGCATATTCCAAATACATTTTGAACCTTGACAAATAACTTAACACTAGTTATGTTAATGTATGTCATTACAACTGAAACAATAATGGTGGCAATACAAAAGCTGTCGAAATCATCACATTTTAAAATTGTTTAGTTTCTAAACAACCATCCTGTTTAATTTTATCTAACTTAAAAATCCAATCTAATGAAAATAAACACAGCAACATGCCATCATGTTACTACAAATTTTGCATTTCTACAATTATTTTGAATGTCGATTGGACTTAAAATATAAAATTAAAACAATATATTTTCACACTTAGTATATTTATAACTTGTATAATCAGAATGCATACAAGTGATAGAAAGGTGATGTAATGGAAAAAAAAAACATTTATCTCATTATAAAAATTTATTATTGGTATCATCCAAACTAGCTATTATCTTATTTGCTCAGTAAGCCAATTTAACTACCATATTGTTATAAGGATTAGTAATTACGAGATTGAGGTCTTTTAACAGTTCTATAAGTTGATAATTTTCTGAAGTTACTTTGATGTATCCATTTGATGTTTCATCCAACTTTTCCATCATTAGTTGCTAAAAACAGAATATTACATATTAATAAAATTAAAGAAATGTAATTCAAAATCAGCTGCAGAAATAGTAATGAGTTATAATCTTGTTGCATAAACATATTTAAATCAAATTCTAAAACTCCTTTAAATTTAATGTAATTAAATGTCAAATTATTAAACATCTATTTGTTTCACATTTTTTAATATTTATTTATGTACACAGTGAACATGTTATATGTGAATATTATTTTAAATTGTACTTATTTATAAAGCTTTGTTTTTTAATGGTGCTTGATAAAATAATTTTGTTAAGCATAGTTTGCCCATTTTAGTATACATTTATTTTATTAAATAAGTACATGCAATGAAAGATAACACTTACTCCTAATACTTCTGTGATCATTTCAAAGTTGCCAGGAAACAATGACTGTATTAGCCCATGAAGTTCATCTTTCATCATTTGAAATCTCTCTTTGGCATTTTGAATGTGTTCTAAGTTTACATCTTGTCTTTGCACTTTAGGGCAAGCTTTTGCTTCTTGTGATGTTTTGATAAGAGTAGTAAGTCTACAAATGAAACATATCATTATATTTGTAAATTAAAGGCAATAACAATATATATTGATAAATAAATTTAATTTTTCACCTGATAATTTCCTTATCAGTGTCATGTATGGAACCTTTTGTAAATGCTATTAACTCCTTAAGTTCTGTAGTTTTCTGTTTGATTTCAGATAAAAACTGACCAGTAAGTAAATTATCATCTGTCACTATTAGAGTATTTGAATTTTCGATATCCGTTTTAAGTCCTTCAATGTAAGTTTGAGTTCTTTCTGCTATGTTGTCCGGTGTAATAAATACAGTATCAGCCGGAGAATTCTCAATTAAATTGAAGGCATCAATACAACCAGATTTTAGTCCTTTAATTTCCGTTTTTAAAGCATTATGAGTATCCATATCACGCTTGAATGACATTTTCTGAAAAAAAAACACAACAGGTAAATAACTTTGTATTCTTCGATTTATAATATGTTAGTTTTACTTACCTTTACAGATTAAGATACACAGGCACTTACTTAAAAGAAGTAACTTAAGTTGCAACTTGTTAACTTTTTTAAGTTATTTTGTAAAGTTCGTTCGTTAATTTTAATTTTTTAAATACGGTTTATATTGACAAGAGCTTGACATTGGCTTGACATTGACAATGAATGACAGCTCAACGTTATTGTTTGTTGTATATGTCAACAAAGGAATATAACTCATTCAACCAAGTATTAAATTTCTGTTCCCACTAAAAAGTTTTAACTTCTGAAGTTTAGTGAATTAAAGATTTATTGACTTTAATTCACTAAACTGTGTACTGTTTATTGGAATTACCCTTCATAATTATAAAATCACTTTTACGATCAAATACATAAGCAAAATATTCATTATACCTAACTAACAACTTTTCCATTTATTAGATGCTTATTTTAAATGTAGTCTTTATCAGCCTCTTATTGGATATTGGACACGGGATGTCCATATAATAAATTTATGGCATATATTCTTATGAGATATATTCTTGGGAATATCAGATCTTCCCTGAAAGCTTTAGCTGGATAAAAGTAAGGTGGGAAATGCATGGCCAGTGGATACATCGTAAAGCGGGAGCCAGACAAATAATCAAAGTTTGAGCAAATATAAAAACTTGAAAAAAGTAGATTTTCTCTACTTTTTTCAAGTTTTCAAAGCGTAATATTTTCCAAATCAGTGACTTAAAATTTGTTTTGTTAAACATTTATAAGTTAAAATGGTTCATATTTTTCGAAGATAAAACAAAAACCTGTATTTTCACTTGTAGGACACAAGCCTATTATCTTCACATATCATGCATTAATAATGAAAACGTACTACGTAACAATGAAAACATACTCATAAATAAAATTCATTCGTTCAGTCTTTGTCAAAATAATATTTTTTACTCTATACTTACATTTGAAGGAACGAATTAGTATTTACTATTATTATAATACCAATATACTTTAATAACTTACAAAGGCCGCATAATGACGCTAGCTTTATAGCTGTATCTTTGTAGTCCTGCTGTAGATCTGAGGTGAATGGTTGTATCGCATATTCAGCGAATGTCATAACTATAATAGCAACTTCAGCTGGTCTTAATATCATAACATAAATCCAGGCACATATGAACGAAGGCAATGGTCCCCAAAACTTGTGAATTTTACCAAATGCTTCTTGGAAATAGGCGTACTCTGCTCCAGACTTTCCTACCACAGTCCCCAACTCCGCAAAAGATAATGCTCCTGAAATAATGGTTAAATTCATCATTAAAAAATCAATTAGCACAGCATAGTAGGTATCCAACCCTGAACAAATTAAGTAGGTCTTACCTACACCCACCTAATAGTGATATTATTCCTGAGACTGTCCATATTATAAGACATAAACCAACGGAACCTGAATGTTCCAATGCTGATGCTGGAGATACGAAAATACCAGACCCAATCATTACACCTAGTATCAAATTGACTGCAGAAAATAAACCTAACTCTCTTTTTAATTTAACTGTGCTTCCTTGTATAATTTCAATATCTTTGTCTTCATCAACATTTTCTTTCTGCGATAATTTTTCCGCTGCCATTATGATAAAGCCTAAAAATTAAAAACAAACAACTGTAGCACATTGATAACATCTATACATTAAAAACCTCCTCTTTATAATGTGATGTGTAAGTTAATAGGATGTCTTGGTTACAACATCATTTAACATATACACTACTTTTTCTATTGACTACTTTAAAAAGAATTATTATTATTTAGTAAAAAGCCATCTAGTATAGGAAAGCTTAAAGTTTTTTCTAACTACATTTTTAAATAAAGAGGTTTTTAATGTTTCGGTATACCAGCAGAAACGGTGTTACTATTCACTTAGTCATGGAATGGCTTAGTTCGGCGCAAAGGGTTAGGTAATATTTTATGTTGTTTATTTAATTTAATCTCGATGTTATATTTTATCCAGTAAAAGAGTTTTTCATTCACTGGGTATTGCAAAATACGATTTTAAAACATTTGACAATTTATGCTTAATTATGCTAATCCATTGCTATTAATATCAATATGGTGTCTGTAGAACCCAAACTATCTTGAAACCTTGGTCTACTATCTACTACTAATATAGGTTATCGTGGCTGTGTGGGACGTCACAAATCAATAGTTGTTTGATATAGGATAAATGTATAACTACTAAATTTAAAATGGAATGAACTGGACATGTTCGTTTTATATTTTCTTTAAGTGAGTGGAAGCAACTTAACGTCTGTGCAACATAATTGAGTTAACGGTGAACGAACTCGAATTGATTTCACTATGTCCTCGTGTGAATGTTGTAGTTTAAGGACGTTGGAGGTCATACTGTGGCCACTACGAACTTATTACCAAATAATAGGATGTACCGGCCACTTATGGCAATCAAGGAATACCTACGTAATTTAACTGGTACTCAAGACAGCGGCATTTGTCATACAGGTAAACTGAGCGCAATAAGTTCCCTTACATTTATTTCAACTTATGCTGTGAGTAGGATTTACCAGCAAAGCAAAATTTTAATAAAAAAAAAATTATGTATTAATAATATATTATTAAAATAGTTAGCCAAGTATTATACAAAAGTTGAATGGAGACCAAGTCTTAAAAGATTTTATGGGATCTCATTTCATTTACTATAAGATTATTATAATTAAAAAGAATAGAATTCAATAGTAACTGTACTCTAACTGAAGTCAAGGTAATTTGTCGTACAGCTAAATGTACAATCACGTTTTAGGTTCACGTTTTAGTATTAACTATTTGTAAGTCACTTTGAAATTTGTGTGCCGTTTCAATATACATACTATTAAATAAAGGTAAAATTAAAATGGTTATTAAGAACGCGGAATAATTTCATATTATCTTTTGTTGTCGGTAAATAGTGCATTAGAGAGAAAATAAAAATATGCGTCTTTAAATTTGGACATAGTAAAAATATGTAAGTGTCCAGTATTCATATGTTTTATCAATACCATTATGGTAGATTGCCTAATTCAAAGTCCGAGCCTTAGAAATGCATTAGTTATTGTTACTGATATGCAGAGGTCTATTTATCTCATCTCGTTATCAGACTCTACCTACCAATGTCAATAGAATCCGATAGACGAACCTGCATTGGGAACGTTTAGTTAATCAGTCCGGCCTCAAATTCATCTGAGAATGACTTCCGAGTTAAGGTTTTAGGTTATTATTACTTTATTATAAATTTTAATTGGCATTTATAATATTAGATTTATTATATTTAGGAAAACATTAACAATCCAATTGTTAAATGAATAATTTTTTTATTTATATATATATTATATATAAATCTCGTTTTACGATGTATGTCACTGATAAACTTCGAAATTACTGGAACCGATTTTTATCAATATTTACATGTACTTAACCGTAATTTCATCTAACTTAAAAGATAGCAAAGATTTATCTCAATTATTATCAAAATAATGAGTAAAAAAATATTTTAATCAATAGATTGAAATATTTTTTCAATAATATAATAATACAGTTATTATAAATTCTTATTTGTTATTATAACATTAATTATAAATATACCTAAATCAGAAAAACTGAAAACTTTAAAATAAATATTAATTTGAACATGTAAAATTATTGACTTTAAATGAAGGTAAAGGGTCTTACATAATAAATATTAATATTATGTATGACATATTTATATTACATAAAGTTTTTCATCAGTTTCATAAAACGACAGTCACAAAGTAGTAGTACGATCTTAATCTTAGATAAAGCATACTGTCTCTATTATTTTAATCGATTTCACAACAAAAAATACCTTGGGGCGTAATGTCAAATGGTTTTTTGTATGGCACATTCTTGTGATAAATAAAACAATATATTATAACTAGAATATTTCATCTGACATTTTAAAATAGGTAATACGTAAAGTAACTCGTTTTATTTAAATAAGATAAACTCGTTTTATATTAAAAAAATTTTTTTTTTATAAACTCAATGGAATTTTGGGATAAACGTTCTTAATGTCAATTTTCCGTACATACCTATATATAATTATTAGTCTACGTACTAATATGCATTTTAAATCCATTCCGATTGTATCTATTCAAAACAGTTATCTCCACATTAGAGTCTAATTGATAAAACAGAATTAAACAGATGAAAGTTCAAACCAAATAATAAAAAAGTATTGATATTCATTTTTTGTTTTGTCAAAGGATTGTGGTCATTCCTACAAAATAAAAAAGAATGGCATTCGGACGGATGATAAATAAAATACACACGTGATGCACTAATACGTGATGGATGACCGATAAGAACGTGAATATCATATTTACGGGAAATAAGGTCCTAAATGCCGACAGCCGAGATGCGAACAACAAAGGCACGTACTGGACACAGTGTTTTATTTTAAATTTAAAATATTTTATTCTTTGTTGATCACGAACATGACCATAAAACCCAACAGGACATTTCCAGGAACCTTTTAACATGTTAAAAATAAAATATTATGTTTTTTAAATTTTGGTATGTATTTAAGTTTCACAGCATGCAATTTATTGCCTTCTTTGAAACTAAATGTGATGATGTCAATAAATACATGACGAATGCTTCGTTTAGTTAATGTTTCATGTTGTTTTGTTGATAAGTGCTTAATTGGTCCATTTTAATGAAGTTAGTTTGAAAATTGAAATATATTAGTATTCATTTTAGAGTAAGAGTTATATAAGTTAATCGTAGATGAGTATTGTGTTATCAAATTGACAATCAAAAATGTAATTTGTAACTTCATAGCTGTATTTTGTTCGAATAACACGAAAAAAGAAATAAATAAGAAGTTTCATACCGTCGGCCTTTTCAAGGTAAAAGATAAGGTAAGATCGGAATTAAAAGATAATTTTATATTACCGCAATGATAAATATTATAAAGATAATTCGCATGTGAATTATTATTTTATGTGGAATTACTGAAATTTTTATATTTGTATAGCCAGCCGGGGACGTACAATGACCACCCTTTGAAGGAGAAAGATGTACTGCCACCATCACCGTGACAAACGTCACCAGGAGGTGAAATCGCTTTTACAGCACACACCCGGAATATTGCAGAAGAGTCATTTGAAACCTTCTAAAGGTGGTAGGTACTCTTGTTACATTTGTCAGGGGTCCAATTCTACTAAATAACTTTTGTTTAAATCGAATCGAAAACGGATCGAAACCGAACGAAACTACAGTTTTTAATGGTTTTCCTATTCTACAAAGTGACATACGATACAATTCCAGTTCTATTTTAGGCTACGAAAGCCACGCGGACGAAGTTGCGGGCAAAAGCTAGTGAATAATATAATTACAAATGGCATATTTAGCGTGCGTATTGATTGCGTATTTAGAAATATTGCTTTGGATATGAACGTCGTGAAGGTACAGATAGATTATTATCTATGTTTCTTTACTTTCTTTTCATAGATAAGTGTTAGTCGTAAAACTTTAGCTAATTTTAATTTTTAAAAACTTAAAAATTACGCCTTTTTATGTTTCTTTAAAAAAAAGTATATAACTTGATTAAATTTCAGCATTTATCTTAACTACATTTAACTTTTTATACGACTAATCAAAAATACTCAGCCACATTGTATTATAGAAAATAAAATATGCTTTTAAGATGTTCTCAACACAAAATTTATTTGATGTTTTTTTTAGTTTTTAAGAGAAGATTTATAAAGAGTTTTTTGTGGGATGATTTCTTAATTTATTTCACTTAAATAGACGGGTGAAATTAAAAAGCTCTTATTTTATTGTCACGATATTTAAAATCTGATCTAATCAGTTAGCCGATTTAGAAAATAATGTCCAAAAACAAAACGGGGTATCAACTGTTCCCTGTCTCCTATACTTTAAATTGTTATTTAAAAACTCATTTATAGTATTAACACTATTAGTCACTAATGTTCGTATGTTCCCACAAAAACATGTAGGTGGTAAACTAGCATAACATCTGCAAGTTTTGATTTTTATATTTAAACTTTTTATAAAACGTTTAAAATTATAAAACAGTAGAAATATATATAAAAAGATGCCTGTGCATAAAACGGTGTAAATATATTTTATTAATAATCTGAGAATAAATAATATTTAAGTGTAATATATTCGTATTACTTACTTACCTCAATAGGCAGCTGCTTTAAAAAAGTAAATAATCTTTAGTATAAAACAAAACTGGGAAGACTTTTATTATTTGAATTTATCACATAATTCGAATGTCTATCGGAAACTATACATCTTGTTCTTATTATAGTTATTCAATTTGAGTTACGCGGACAATATGTTTATACAATACGGACCGCGCGTCGTATCGCGGTCACCGCTGTTACAATACTGTCTGGCAGTCAAGTCAATGCACAATTACAGTATGGTATTTCTCTGTTTTTACGATAAGATCATATCGGCAGCGTAATAGATAGAGAGATGTAGTAAATGTGCGACAACCGTTTTAGTTGCTATCTGTAAATATTGCACACGCTTAGTATTAAGACTTATCGAACTATCATTATCGACATTAAGCGATAATCTTTGATA